AAGCCAAGGATGTCACAGGCGCAGTCAGCTCTGCAGGGCCAGGTACCTTCCTCATATCCTGCAGGGACAAGTCCCTATCCTCAAATCACCTTCAAGTCTTGCCTTTGGGGATGGTAACTTCTATTAATAGAGAGAAGTAAAGACAATTTATAGGCTATGTGCCAGTAGGTGTTTGAGGGCTCCCCTTCTCCCCTGGGCATTTGGGCAGAAGAAAGGCGGCATGGATAAAAACTGGTATAGAGAATTCACTCCTCAGAAGTCAAGTCCAGCTCCACCTCTCTTGCAAGCGGAGTGACATTTGACCTCTAGTTTATCACCAATGCCAAATAGAAGAGCCTACCTCAGAAGGTTTGTGTGTTGTTTTTCTTTGGAGACACTGTCTTGCTCTATTGCCCAAGCTGGCGTACAGTGCGCCTGGGCAATTGCTCACTGCAGCTTGTGCCTAGAGCTCAATTGATCCTCCTGCCTCAGCCTCCTGAGTAGCTAGGACTACAGGTATGTACCCTGACACCTGGCTAATCTTTTGTTTTGTAGAGACAGAGTTTCTCTCTGTTGCCGGGCTGTCTCAAACACACGGCAGGCGGATCTCCACATAGCTCCCAAAGTGCTGGAATTACAAGCATGAGCCTAGCAGCTGCAGAATTACATTGCAGGAGCAAACCTAATGGATATAAAGTGCTTGGCACAGTCTGACACATAAGCGGGAAACCTCAAGAAACGGAAACTGTTTCCCTTGCCTGCCCCTCCACAAGAGGACCTGGAGAAGAGGATCACCCCATGGGCTTCAGCTATTCTTTAGCTGCTCTGTCCTTGCATTCCTCTCCTCTCACCAGGTCTGTCCCCAGCCTTGGCCATGCCTGCAAACAAGGTAACAATCTGCCATCTAGAGGCACATTTGGGAATCTGCGAGCGGCTCCAGGCCTTTCCTGCCGTCAAGGTCAGAGAAGGCAAGCAGAAGGCAGGCACATCAGCTGTCTGGAGGGCGTGGCCAGATACTTCAGTGCCTAAGTGGTGTCAAAGGGAAAGAAATGTGAAATTGATGCTTATATTACAGCCCTGATGCCAAAGGGCATGAGCTAGTAAGTCACACCCACGATTCTAAAATCCTTACTTTACCTGTAGTGCAAGCAAATAATTTTACCTGTGTGTTCATCTGCAAAATGGAAGTAATGGCAATATCTACTTCTAAGACTATTTGGTAAAATTAATTAATAAGTATTATGAAACACATGCCTGACATGATGAGTATAAATTCTATTACTACTTTGAATTTTATTAACACAATGATCACAGCTTAATACAATGAGAACAAATCAAATATATGAAATTACTTGGCATAATACTTGAGTGTGTGGTAAAGATCAATATGTGGTGGCATAGCATTATTATTATTATTCACAGGAGGAGAGCCTTGCTGTGTCGCCCAGGCCATGAGTGCAGAGAGCAATCTACATCACTATAACCTTGTGAACTCCTGGGCTCAAGTGATCCTCCTGCCCCAGCCTCCTGAGTAGCTAAGATTACAGGCACACACCCACCCCACACCCCAGCTATTTTTTTTTTTTTTTTTTTTGAGACGGAGTCTCAATCTGCCTACAGGCTGGAGTGCAGTGGCATGATCTCCTCACTACAATCTGTCTCCCAGGTTCAAGCAATTCTCCTGCCTCAGCCTCCCAAGTGGCTAGGATTATAGTTATGCACCCCCACACCCAGTTAACTTCTGTATTTTTAGTAGGTATGGGGTTTCACCATGTTGGCCCAGCTGGTCTCAAACTCCTGACCTCAAGTGATCCACCTGCCTCGGCCTCCCAAAGTGCTGGGATTACAGGCATGAGCCACCATGCCACAGCCCACAACCAATTTAAAAAATTTTTTAGAGATGGGGTCTTGCTATGTTGCCCAGGCTGGTCTCAGGTCTCTGGCCTCAAGTAGTCCTCCACCTCTTGACCTTCAAGTGCTGGCATTACAGGTGTGTGCCTGTACACAGCCTGTAGCATGATTAATTATTATCATCATTCATAATTTAATGGAGAAACACTGTCAAAGAAAAAGACAAGATGTGTTGAATATTAATTATCTCTGATGTTTGCAGAAATAGAAACTCATTATTAAAAAATTTTAGGCCAGCACAGTGGCTCCACGCCGCAAATCCCAGCACTTTGGGAGAGAGGGTGAGGTAGGTGGATCACAAGGTCGGAGATCGGGACCATGCAAACTGTGTAGGTAGAAACCCTGTCTCTCCTAAATATACAAAAAATTAGCCAGGCATGGTAGTAGGTGCCTGTAGTCCCAGCTACTTGAAACTAAAACAGGAGACCAGGAGAGCAGAGCTTGCAGTGAGCCGAGATTATACCACTGCACTCCAGCTCCCTAAACAATAAGAGAGCGAGACTCTGTCTCAAAAGAAAAAGGGTGGGCCAGGTGCAGTGGCTCACGCCTGTAATCCCTGGCACTGCCCCGGGAGGCTGAGGCAGGCAGATGACCTGAGGTCAGGAGTTCGAGACCAGCCTGGCCAACATGGTAAAGCCCTGTCTCTGCTAAGGCTACAGAGCATTGGCTGGATGCTTGGTAGCACGTGTCTATAGTCACGGCTACCAAAGGAGGCTTAGGCATGAAATCACTTGAGCGTCGGGGTAGAGTCGTAGTGAGCTGAGGTTTTGCCACTGCACTCCAGCCTGGGCAACAGAGTGAGACTCTGTTTCAAAAAAAAAAATTAAAATAAATAAATATAAACTTTATTTGATGTACTATCACTATTAAAATATTATTACTAGAGAAACTAGGTGTAGAGTATAGCAGAGAGTCTGTTTTGCATTCCTGCGGACCTAAGAAAATTCCATCTGAACGTGGAAGTACTCTCACATTGGAATGAGGCTACTGAGGGGAGGGTGGGGCTGGTGTCCTAAGCAGTAGAGTGTGGTAGTCAGCTGGGAAGGCTCCGGGGTCAGGCTGCCCAGGTGCTCTGGCCTGGCCTTTGTGAGCCAATTCTGTCACTTCTCCTCTGAGCACATAATATGGTCTTTCCTATGTCCCCACCAAATCTCACTTCTTGAATTCCCATGTGTGTGGGAGGGGCCTGGTGAAATCACCGGGGCAGGTCTTTCCGGGCTGTTCGTGATAGTGAGTAAGTCTCACGAGATCTGATGGTTTTAAAAGGAGATTCCCTGCAAGCTCTCTTCTCTTGTCTGCCACCATGTGAGGCGTGCCTTTCACCTTCCCACCATGATTGAGACTCCACAGCCATGTGGATCCATAAGTCATTAAACCTCTTTCCTTATGCTTTATCAGCAGTGTAAAAACAGACTAACATACCACTTCTGTCTTTTTTTTTTTTTTTTTTTTTTTGAGACAGAGTCTTGCTCTGTGGCCCAGGCTGGAAAGCAATGAAGCCTGATCATAGCTCCTGTAAGCACAACCTCCGGGTGCCAGTGATCCTCCTGCCTCTCAGCCTCCCAAGTGGCTAAGACTACAGGCCTGCCATGTGCCTGAATTTATTTCAAAAATTTTTGTAGAGATGCGGTATTGTCATGTTGGCTGCAGCTGGTCTCAAACTCCTAGATAATAGTCCTCTGTAGTCTCCCAGAGTGCTGGGATTACAGGCATGAGCCACTGTGCGACCCTATTTCTCTTTTTTCTATCATACAGTCAGGAGCAATGAGGCACTGGGGAAGCCCCTTGGAACAAGTCCTGGGCTGAGGCAGCCTCAGTAAAATGTTACCTAAAGATTGCATCAACTGCATCATCACGTAGTCCAAAGAAGAAATACTTCCTTTAGTAATAGAGGGACTGTGAGCTATATTTACTCCATGAGAGAAGTCAGAATAGTAGTTATTCTGCAGGGAAAGGAATTACCCGGGAAGGACAGCAGGGGAGCTCAGGTGGGGTAGGAAGTTTCTTTCTTTTTTTTTTTCTGTATTACAAGTCATCAAGCAAGGGGAGAAGGCTTCTGTGCAGATTTGGTGGTATTTACACAGGCATACCAAGCTGTACATGGTAAATATCTGTGCACTTTAGCCAATTTATAGTTCAATCTTTAAAAACCCTAACTATCAATGATTACATCCTATTTGGAAGGAACTATGCTGGGATAACTGAATATTTTGGAAAAAAGAACGGCCAGGTGCAGTGGCTCATACCTGTAATCCCAGCATTTTTGGGAGGCAGGCTGGAGGATTGCTTGGGCCAGGACTTTGAGACCAGCCTGGGCAATGTATAAAGAACCTAACTCTAAAAAGTGTTTAAAACTTAGCTGGGCATGGTGGCATGCAACTGTAGTCCTAGCTACTTGGGGAAGGCCTGAGGTGTAAGGATAAGCCTTGAGCCTGAGGAGGTTGGGGCTGCAGTGAGCTGGTGCACCACTGCACTCCCGCCTGGGTTGACAGAGTGAGACCTTGTCTCAAAGAAAAAAAGAAGAAGGAAGGAAGGAAGGAAGGAAGGAAGGAAGGAAGGAAGGAAGGAAGGAAGGAGAAAGAAGAAAGAAAGAAAAGAAAGAGAAAAAGAAAGAAAGAAAGAAAGAAAGAAAGAAAGAAAGAAAGAAAGAAAGAAAGAAAGAAAGAAAGAAAGAAAGAAAGAAAGAAAGAAAGAAAGAAAGGAAAGAAAGAAAGAGGAGGAGGAGGGAAGGGAGGGAAGGGGGGAGGAAAGAACAGAACTAAAATATTGGGTCTCTCTCTGTCACTCCAGGCACTAAAATTAATTTTAAAAGTAACTAGAAAAACATGTTGATGGACAGTTATGAGCTTGCTGGAGGAGGAAGGGCTTTCTAAGGATAAAAACAAAGAGCATGGAGACAATACTGACAGGACTGTTAGACTGTAAGCACCCTGCTCCCCAGTCTTGACACCCAGCGGTCACTCAGTAAATATTTGTGGTACGAATTAAATGAATGAATGATTGGACAACTTTTGTGCTGGGTGCCTGTCAGTGTGCAAGGTGTGAAGAGACAGGTGCTGGTGCCTGAGCACGGGGGACCTAGCCACCAGCCCCATGGACAGCATCCTCACCGGCAGGGAACACTTGCCCCAGGCAGAGGTGCCTCGCTGGGATGGCCTGCTCTTCTGCAGGAGCACCGCAGCTTGTTCTGAGTAGGCAGAGTCCATGTTGAAGGCTTCTTCCCTCCCAGCCTGCTCCTGTGGCCCCCCAGGCTCTGCTGCTTCGGGGGAAACAAAGCAGAAAGGCAGTGAGAAGTGGCTGCCAGGAAGCAAGTGTTTGGGTTCAGAACTTAGGCCCTTAGTCCTAAGAAGTGATCTCGCAACTCAAGTTCAAAGCCCCAGGATCAAATAATTAGGTTTAGGGCTCAGGCTCACTGCCCAGGAAGTGATTTCCTAGCTATGGCCCCTTACCCCCAGGAAATGATAGCTAAGACCCTCACTGCCCCAGGAAGTGATTTCCTAGATAAGGCCAATTGCCCAGGAAGAGATTTTTCCCATCTTGAGGCCCATGGGCCTGATGGCAACAACTCACTTAAGGGCCCAACCTGTCCCCTCAGGGTTCCTCCCTACTGCCCTTGAGCGGGGAAGGCAGGGAGTCAGCAGGAAGTGGGAAATGCTGGGAGGTGTGCACATTCTCTTACTTCACAGAGCAGCCCTTTATGCAGCCTGGACGATTCTCAGGGCCCTGGAGAATGAAGATCACTTACCTGGTGGAGACTTAGAGGCTTCGGAACTGAGCTGGGCCCCCTTCATACCAGAGTCCCCATTCTCTGATGACATTTTCTATGCAAATTACAGACAGTGCCCAATTACTCATGTGGGAAGCCGACAATGCTCACATAACCCCGGGAGACAGGAGCCACCCACAACCCCTTTTCACAGACGAGCCGCTGAAGCCCAGAGAGGCTGAGTTACTTGCCCAAGGTCCCACAGCTGCTAATTTGGGAATGGGCACTGGGGCCCAAGTCTGGCTGGCTCCAATGCCTGTGGTTTTAATCACTGTTATGCCACTTCAGAGGTGCTCCAAGAGAGATGATGCCCACAACCGATCAGGCTTCAAGTGTCAGCAGGATACACAGTGACAATAAAAAATATTTTGTGCCGGCCGGGTGCCGTGGCTTACGCCTGTAATCCCAGCGCTTTGGGAGGCCGAGGCAGGTGGATCATGAGGTCAGGAGATAGAGACCATCCTGGCTAACATGGTGAAACCCCGCCTCTACTAAAATACAAAAAATTAGCTGGGCGAGGTGGCAGGCGCCTGTAGTCCCAGCTACTCGGGAGGCTGAGGCAGGAGAATGGCGTGAACCCGGGAGGTGGATCTTGCAGTGAGCCGAGATCACGCCACTGCACTCCAGCCTGGGCGACAGAGAGAGACTCAGTCGCAAAAAACAAACAAACAAACAAACAAACAAAAGTATTTTGTACTGATAATGAGGTAGGAGGTGGGACTTTGGCTGAAACAAGGAAGAGGCAAAAACACCTCTCCATAAGACATGCCCACAGTGCCATGACAGTTTACCATTGCCATGGCAACACCTGGAAATTAGTGCCCCTTTTCTAGAAATTTCTGAATAACTCACTCCTTAATTTGCATTTAATTAAAAGGCAGAACTGCTCCTGAGCTGCTGCTCTGCACACACTGCCTATAGGGTGGCCCTGCCCCTGAGCTGCTACTCTGGACACACTGCCTACGGGCTGGTCCTGCCCCTGAGCTGCTGCTCTGCACACACTGCCTATAGGTGGCCCTGCTCTGCAGCAGCAGTCACGCTACTGTATCACGGCCACCTCCATAAAATTGTTTTCTTCTACCACCAGCTCACTCTTGGATTCTTTCCTGAGTGAAACTAAAAGCTTCCATAGCTAATACCCAATTTTGGGGCTTGCCTGCCCTGCACTGATAACAATTATATAGGAAGAACCTAGGCTTTCAGGCTCACCCAAGGACACACAGTGGCAACAGGTATATACGCAGTGGCATGCATGGGAGGTGAAGACCTACATGCAATGTAGGGACATAGTGGAAGGCAGGGAGACATATGTGTGCAAGCCAATGCACTCTAAATACACACACACCAACACACACACAACACACACACCAACACACACCCCCACACACCCCAACACACACAAACACCAACACATACACACCAACACACACACCCCAAAACACACACACCAGCACACACCCCCCACACACCCCAACACACACACAAACACCAACACATACACACACACCAACACACACACCCCAAAACACACACACAACACACACATCAATACACACACACCCCCAACACACACACACCCCAACACACACCCCCCAACACACACACCCCAACACACACACCCCAACACACATACCCCAACACACATGCACACATACCCCAACATACACACCAACACTCAGACACCAACACACACACACCCCCAACACACATACCCCAACACACATGCACACATACCCCAACATACACACCAACACTCAGACACCAACACACACCAACACACACAACACACATAGCAACACACACAACATGCACACATCAATACGCACACCCCAACACACATCAACACACACCAATACACATACACTAACACACACATATTCCAACACACACACCAAAGCACACACACCAACACACATCAACATACACCAACACACACATCAACACGTACACCCAAACACACATCAACACACCCCAACACACAGACCAACACACACACACTAACACACACATATTCCAACACACACACCAACACACATCAACACACACACCAACACACAGACCAACACACACACACCAACACACACACACATACACATACCAATACAGCCCTTCAGCAGGATCACTGCATCTCTCAGGCTGTGGTGGCAGCACAGAGATCCCAGTCAGACAGGGCCTGCAATGACCCATATGCCACTTACCACTGAATTGAAGACCCCGAAGACATCCCTGACATCTCTGGCAGGTGTCTTGTGTTGTCTTCGCACTGAGCGAGCATAGACGTCCAGCCGGCGGCACACAGCGGCCACCTGGGTCTGTGTCAGGGTGGACAGGAGCTCCTTGTGATCGCTGTCCAAGCCAAGGCCACCAAGGAGGCCCGATAGGCCTGTGTCCTGCAGCCACTGGGATTCAGCTTCCCCTTCTGCCAATGGAAGTGGAACCCAGATGAACACACACAGCTCTGCACTCAGCCACACATGGTAACCAAAGTTCTGCATAGAAGCACACACTCACCTGGACACAGGAGTTTCTGCATATCTGATCATGAGACCTATTAACACCAACCAGACTCTTCGTGGAAGAAGATCTAATGAGCCTTCTGAGAATTGGGGGCGGGGTAGGGGGTACTGATGGCATTAGTCAGTGTATGGATGTCAACCCATAACATAGCAATCCCTGGAAAACAGAGCTGGCTGAAGGGCCCTGCATGTTCTGATTTTGGACCCACTTCTCTTCAAAGTAATGAACCCACTTCTCCAAAATCTGGCAGAGACCACCACAGGGTCACACGGTGTCCCCTTGGGAAGTTGGTGCTGGGTGTTGATGTCCCTTTGGGAAGTCCTCCATATTCAAGACCTTATTTGTGTTGGAATTGTCCCCTCGGCTATGCTTCCTAAGGAAACTGTCATAGTCCCATAGCAAAACCATCAGTTGGAATGGGAGGGTGTATTAAGACTTCAGGATCTCGGGTCCTACCTCCAGGGATTCTGCTCCAGGAGTTCAGGCCTCATGCCTGATAATCTGCACTTGGAGTGTCTTCCTCAGATTATTCTAATGCAATAGGGTCTTCAGATCACACTTGAGAAACACTGGCCTTATGGGGGAAATGCACAAGAGCTCGTACTGGAAGTTGAACACGTGTGTGAGAGGATTGGTAGGGTGTACAGTTGTACCCAGTGTTGACCAAGTTAGTCAACAAAGTAATAATTGTTTTTAAAACTCAAACAAAACTGCTTTTATAGCAGCCTGGGTTTTGCAAATAATCCAAGTCTTCCCCCAACATTTTCCCTGCACTTGGGAACCAGAACAGATGCCTCCATGGCAGCTGCAACGTTGTGGGTCTATTCCTGACTTGTGCTGGCTGGTGGAGGTACTGATTCTATCACAATACCAGACATTTTTTTGTTTGTACAGAATCCTTTCAATGAACCACTGTTTCTTGAAATGTAGGCATTCACCTACCACCTTTATAATTTTTTTCTCTATCTAATTATCCCTGTAAAATTCCTTACCAAATATATCCCCTTAATTATGGGCTACATTTTTTACTTAAACAAATCTATTGTAAAAGGAAACAAGATCCCTACCACAAATGGAGCATCCAGCATCACCTGCCATGAGTAGACATTGATGGGAAAAATAAGTTATTAACAATCCCTCTGGTTCAAGTTGGTGTCTGAATAAAAAGAAAAGATGGCTGGGCACGGTGGCTCATGCCTGTAATCCCAGCACTTTGGAAGGCCAAGGTGGGCAGATCACCTGAGATCAGGAGTTCAAGACCAGCCTGGCCAACATGGCGAAACCCCATCTCTACTAAAAATACAAAAATTAGACGGGTGTGGTGGTAAATGCCAGTAGTCCCAACTACTTGGGAGGCTGAGGCAGGAGAATCGCTTAAACCCAGGAGGGAGATGGAGGTTGCAGTGGGCCGAGATTGTACCACTGCACCCTAGCCTGGGTGACAGAGTGAAACTCTGTCTCAAAAATTGAATAAATAAAAAGAAAAGAAAGGAAACAAAACAAAACAAAAACAATCTTGGCTCCATGCCACTCAGGATCCCTCAGCCCTGTGAGTCTAAAAAAGCTCCTGTGTTTATTTAGTTGCTCAAAGTGGCTTCTCTCTGACCCTATCTGACTCCACTCCCTGTGTATTGTTGGAAATTAGATGCCAGAGAGGCCACATGGAGGACCTCTGATGCAGGGCATCTCCTGAAACCACTTCTAGTATAACCAGGGATTTTTTTACATTCACACTTGGAGGCACTGCATGTGACTATTAGGCCCTTAAGAGGTCTGCATCACCGCATCGTCTGTTTTGCCAACGAGGGGCAAGCCCAGCTGAATTACATGCCAAACCAGGAAGGGTTCCATATGGAGCCCTTTCATTCCGATGATGTCCCTGGCCTCATGGAAGTTACACTCTAGTGGGGGTCACAGGCACATACACAGTGAAGTGCACTAGGTAAAGTTAGGCAGTGATCATCGCTGTAGCAACAAATAGAGCAGGGCAGGAGCTAAAGAGTGATGGGGCAGGGGTGCTCTTTTATGTAGGGAAGCTGATGAAGACCTCTCTGAGGATGTAACATTTGAGCCCAGTCCTGACTAGAGAGAACAAGCTATGCAGATGCCTGGGACAAGAGCATTTTAGGCCAAGGGATCAGTGAGGACAAAGGACTTGAGGCAGGAAAGTGCTTTTAGGGTCAAGGACCAGCAAGGAGGCCCGAGGACAGAAGTAGAGTGACAGCAAGTCAGGGTGGGAGGAGAAGAGCCAGGGAGGAGGCCCAAAGTCAATTATGTAAAGCCTGGTAAGTTATGATCTGGTGGCTTTATTACATGTCCCCAAATTCTTTGACTCTCACCCCATCAAGAAGTGGAGTCTAATTCCCCTCCTCTTGAACATAGCTGCATGCAGGATAACAGAATGCAGCAGAAGCAATGCTGTCTTTCTTCTAAAGCTGGGTCATAAGCAGCAAAACAGCTTCTACCCAGCTCTTTCTCTTGGTCTTGTGCTTGGAACCTAGCCGCCATGCTGTAAGGAAGCCCAGGCCACATGTGGAGCCCTCATGCAGATATTCCAGATGATAATCCCACATGATACTCCCCGATGAGGCCCCCTGAAGGTCACATCCACCACCAGGCACATAGATGAGAAATCTTTTGAGATGACTCCAGCCCCAGCCACCACTTGATTGTAACTGCATGAGAGGCTCTGAGCAAGAACTGCCTAGCTGAGCCCACTCGACTCCTCCAATAGTGAGGTATAGTAATAGTCATAATAATTGATTATTGTTGCATTATGCTGCTAAGCTTGAGGTGGTTTGTTACACAGTAGTAGATAATAGGGACACATAATTGTCTATTACTCTGAGATAGATGGAGAGATATTTGAGGATTTTGAGCAGAGGGCTTAGAATTTCCCTGGAACATTAGCTCTGTAGATAGGAGATTGTTTTGTATTCACTGTTGTATCCCCAGTGCCTAAACAGTGTCTGGCACATAATACGAACTCAAAAAATATTTCCTGAAGGACTCACTCTAAGGAGGGACATAATCTAATTAACTTTACTAAAAGATCGTCTTGACTATGGCGTGGAGAACAGACAGTAAGGAGCACGGGTGAAGCAGGGAGAGCAGTGAAGAGGATACTGCACCAGTCCAGGCAACAGAGAATATGCTGTCATGTTCTGGTTCATATCTGGATCCTCTCATATTTCTCTGCCTGGAATCAAGCCCTCCCACCACCCCTACAGGCCCCCGCCGGGATCCCTCACCCTCTGGAAGCTGGCCTTCATTCCCGCCACTGTCCTCTTCCCTCAGCTCATCTCTCTGTTGGATCCGTTCCACCTCCATCCAAAAGCCATCCATGCTGGAGCTCTCCGCTGAGGACAGCCGGGAGTGGGAACAGCCAGCAGGGCGTGGTTGCAGGGGATTCTTCTGGGGAAGCTGATTCATTCGGCCTGAGGAGGGGCCAGAGCTGTAGCAAGTGGGGAAGGTGCAGGGAGGTCAGCAAGTCTCTGCTCATGATGGGGGTTGTGCTGGGGCTTGTGGCTCTCCAGAAATCAGCCTGGGGCCCCTGGGGGCTAAGCAAGCTTCCCAGGCACGTTTCTCCGGGTGATCTCAGCAAATCGACTGGTGACCCATCACCCCTGCGGGATCCTTGCAAACCAGCAATGCTGCAGGGGACAGAGCAGAGCCACACTGCTTTGCTTGCTTCCACCTTCTTGGTGAAGGCGAACAGTCTTGGACATACGTACGGCAAATGCAGCATTTCCGAGAGGGGATTAAACACAAAGACAGACGAGGAAATGACAGGGCAGTGTCTCACGGATCTCACCGAATTTTTACCCAGAGAGTCTCCTATCTCCTTCCCTCACACCTCCTCCTTTGTGAGTCTGGCTGCCAAGCCCTGGTTTTCCTGTTTGTATCACAGGGCACCTCATCTCCTCCCCTCTCCCAGCCAGCTTTGAACAGAGCAAGTACCCGATCACAGAGGCACTATACATCACTGAGCTAGTCTCATTCTCTCAAGGTGTTGAAGCAAGGGCAGAGGGGTCAGTATCAGGCACGTGAACTGGAAGCCATGTGGGGCTGGAGGGACTGGAGTGGCCAGTCTTCCAAGAGAAGCTGAGAGGAGACCCTCTGCAGCCATGGAGGGATGTGGGGTAACCTAAGCTTGATTTTCCAGGTCCCACTTGCAGCTTCTCATGATCCAGGCTATGTGGTTTACCCTAGAGCCCCCATTCCCACATCCTTCCCTTTAATCCCCCTCTTCTTCCCAAGCTACAATCAATGAATTTCTGCTTCATGCAATCAAAGAATCTCAGAGTAAGACAGTGCAAATCTCCTGGTCCATATAAATGAAGTCCAGGACTTCAGATGAGCTTAGGGACAAAATGCCTCTGTTGCTGGCCCAAATCCTTGAGAAATGGTGGGGCTGGTAATAATGGCAAAAATACTACACTGGAGTCATCTAGACCCTGACACGGGCCAGCAAATAGACCATAAACTACCCCTGCCAGAAGAGAGGGAAGAAATCAATTTCCCCAGTTTCCGTAAGTGGGAAAAGTGGATATTCTGCAAGTTCTATAGATATTTAAGCTCCCATGTGGAAACAAACAAAAGGCAAAGAAAACCAATAAACATAGGTGGTTTGAACTGTCCTTTTAAAAAAACAAGACTCATTTGGATTAAAAAGGAAAAGTCATCCACATGCTGCTTTTTAAAAAAATACATACATATATGCTTTTCTGGGTTTTTTGTTTGTTTGTTTGTTTGTTTTTGTTTTTTGAGACAAGGTCTGGTTCTATGGCCCAGGCTGGAGTGCAGTGGCGCGATATGACTCATGGCAACCTCCGCCTCCCAGGCTCAAGCCATCCTCCTACCTCAGACTCTTGAGTAGCTGGGACTACAGACACACACAAC